AATGGGTAGGGGCTTCAATAGCCCAAGTGGTGTTTGAGTCCACGGCTTGTCCCGCTGACAGACTTGGCAAGTCTGCTCGTATGTCTTTGCATTGTCAAGCATGTTAGGCCACCAAAAGCGTTGTACTAAGTTAGCAGAAGTCTTCTTGTAGACGAAATGTCATGTTGCGTCATGGCACTCACCTAAAAATAAACTATGCAAAATCTCCCTAGATGGAACCACTAACCTCTTGAATCCTGCCTTCTCAAGAAAGACCAACCCATCCACCATCACAACTCATCAGATGTGGCCTTGTCCTAGGCCTCGAGTTTGCGCATGATGTCCATCATGACAGGGTCTTCCTTGTAGGCTTCCACCAAGGATCGAGTGACACCGTCAGATAAGCCAAACTCGGTAATCAGCGCACCCAGGTAGTCCGCCCTACGTGACAATGCATCAGCAAGTGACAGCAACCTTGTTATACTCTCCTTTCTCATAATCTAGCTTGAAGTCATACTGATCTATGACTTCAATCCGGCGTTTGAGTGCGTCAGAGAGGACATGTTGTGTCTTGATCCACTTGAGTGTCTGATGGTTAGTCCTCAAATAGAAGAACCGTCCCAACAGATAGTGCCTCCAGTGGACAAGTGTCTTGTAGAGGGCGTAGAGTTCCCTTTCATAGGGGGACTTCGCCAATTTTTTGGATGGCATTTTCTTGCTCATGTACTCGATTGGCCTTAACTTCTTCCCTCCTTGCTGAGACTGCGCCAATGTCGTACTGACTTGCATCAGTGGTCGCTACGAATGACCTTTGAGGATCCGGAAGCATGAGAACCTCATGATGGGTGAGGGCATGATTCACTCTCTTGAAAGCAGCCTCACACGCATATGTCCATTCCCATGGGATCTTAAGGCGTGTTAGATCAGTCAAGGGTGATGCGATCGTATTATATTCTGTACAAAATTGCAGTTATAACCACGCATCCCCAAGAAAAATCTGACCTCGGTTACAGACTAGGGTCGTGGCCAGTCCCTAATGCTAGCCACCTTTGCATCTTCAGGCCTAATCCCTTCCTCGGATACTTTCATGACCCAAGTACAAGATTTTTGTGCGACCGAACTCGCATTTCTCTAAATTTATCTTATACTTGTGTTGTCGGAGGAGGGAAAGCACTTTGTCTACATGCTGGGCATGCTCCTCGACAGTTCTACTGAAGATAAGAATGTTGTCGAGGTACATGACGATAAACTTATCCAAGTAGTCATGGAAGATCCTATTCACAGCGTGCTGGAATGTACCCGACGCATTGCAAAGGCCAAAGGGCATCACCACAAACTCGTACTGACCGTTCCTCGTCTGAAATGCGGTTTTGTGTTGATTTTCCGGTCTGATGGCAATCTAATGGTAGTCGTATTTCAAGTCTATCTTTGTGAAGTACTTACATCCCTGCACCCTATCCAATAGGTCATCGATGCCTGGTAGGGGCTCTGCATTTTTAATAGTGGTCGCATTGAGGCCCCTATAATCAATGCACATCCTTAGTCACACGCGGTTAACCAGGGGTGTTATTTTCGACGAATTTTGCACCGAATTGCACTGAAACTGTCATATTGTGCTGATTTTTTGCTTTTTTTCTTGTTTTTCTTTTTGTGTGATATATATGTGCTTTAGGGTACGTCATGTGTGCAGTTTTGACATGTTTGGATCAATAATGAAAAAGTTGGCATTTTGTTGAATTCGTTGGACGCTTCATTTTCACTGGGACAGTGTCTTTGTGTTAGGGTTTCATAGTGTTTTTTTGTTTTTTTTTTTCGTTCTTTTTCGCCTGTTTCCTTTTTTGATGTTTGCACTATCGTGTGAGAAACAAGCCCTCAAGTGGCCCTTTCAGACATCACATTGTTCTGGGCCAAGGCCCCAGCAAGCCAAGTGCCCGCCCTAAGAGAAGGCGGGCCTGAATATTCGTCACAGGCCAAATTCAACATTTCAATATGTGGGTATTCAGGCTCTTGCAACGCGTCAGTTGGTTGAGTGAACGCGCGAGCCTCACAAAGCTGCGCCGTACAGTTGGCCCAGGCCACGAAAGTTGTGTCTGGGCACCTACACATAAAGCAGGGCCGCTACATTGAGAAGCACGCCGCCGGCCTCTGGAAAAGCAGTACAACCGACGCACCTACCTGGGGGCCCTGCGCAGATGCAGCTAACAGCCCAAGTCCGGAGACTCAGGCCGCGCCCAACTGTAAAGGGCCCAGGCCCTCAACTGTAAGTCTCGGCCTGGGCACAGGGTCTGAGGCCCAACCAGAAGCTACTTGAAGCTTCCAGCCAGGCCACACGCAGCATGCAGCAGGCTGCCACTTCCATAAAGGAAGTAAGGCAGCCCAGGCCAGGCATTCTGGCCAGCGCTGGCAATGCGGAAGTGCTGCTGCGCTCTCGCTTGATGCTGCGCTGCTGCCAAGGGCGCTGACGGGGCGTGAGAGGTGAAGTGGGGCGCTGCAGGACAGCGGGGCGCAGGCGGCCATAGCCGGGCTGCTAGGCGCCTGGGGGTACAGCGGATGATCGGGTGGTCTTCAGGGAGTGAGGCGTTTTGTGGGATAATCAAGGTTTGATTGAGGGTGACGAGATACGTACCTGGTACATGAAGAGAGGTCGCCGATGGTGTGGACAGTCATGTACATTGGTCTTCGTGAGCCGAAGTGATCCTGTTGTGTGAACCAGC